GAGCAAGCTGAAGCAGAACCAGGTAGCGCTCAGGGCGGCACCGTGCCGGGGTGGGGGGGACACTGGCGTGTCCCTGGGCATCCCCATGGCCATCCGGGCTCCCCGCAGGAGTACGAGGCCTTCCGGCGCGAGCGTAGCAAGCTGCTGCTGGCCCGTCGCAACCAGCTGCTGCTCGAGTTCAGCTTCTGGAACGAGCCCCTGCCCTGGCCTGGGCCCCACGTCTACGAGCTGAGGACCTACAAACTCAAGGCGAGTGGCCCCACGCGGTGCCGGGGGCAGGGGTGCAGGGACCCACCCGCTCAAACGTTGCTGGTTTGCTTCTCCCTTTCCAGCCGGGGACCATGATCGAGTGGGGCAATAACTGGTAAGGAGACAGCCTGGTCTCTGCCTCAGTTTCCCCCCTGCCCCAGGCACTGCCTCAGTTTCCCAGCTGGTCCCGTCCTTGGGGGCCGTCCTCCACTCCCTCGTTCCCCGCACAGTCGCTGGGGCTGTGGACAGAGGAGGAGGAGGAGGAAGAAGAGGAAGGCTTCTGGCACCCCACAGCAGTTCTTTCCCCCCACCCCGGCCAGGGCTCGGGCCATTAAGTACAGGCAGGAGAACGAGGAGGCCGTGGGTGGCTTTTTCTCCCAGATCGGCGAGCTCTACGTTGTGCACCACCTCTGGGGTAAGTGGGCACCCAGGGGCACCCGTGGGTGCTGGGTGCTTCTGCGCCAGTGTGAGATGCTCTGTGTTGTTGCCCCCCCCAACCTCGCTCCCTGCAGCATACCGGGACCTGCAGTCACGCGAGGAGACGAGGAACGCGGCATGGCGCAAGAGTGGCTGGGATGAGAACGTCTACTACACGGGTGAGCGTGGCGGCAGGGGCACCCATGGGTGCTCAGTGTCAGGGGTCACCCGCGGTGACGTCCCCCCGCCGCCACTGGCTTTGCAGTGCCGCTGATCCGCAGCATGGAGTCGCGCATCATGATCCCCCTGCGCATCTCGCCCCTGCAGTGAGCCGGCACCTCAGCACCGTGTCGCCTTCCGTGCCCCTGGGGCACGCCGGGGTCCCCGCAGGGCACCCAGATCCCCTACCTGCCCTGAGCACCTACTTGGGGTAGCCCACGGGGATGGGAGCTGGGGGCGCCCCTGCTTTCCTCTGGGGGCTCGGCACCATGTCACCTCCTGTCCCCCTTGTCCTGATCGTCCCCCAAGGCTCACTGGGGCAGGGCCAGGGTCCCGCGTGGCACCCAGCTCCCCTCGTCCCCGGAGCACCCATTGGGGACCCCTTGCAGGGACAGAGCCAGGGACACACCTCAGGGTCAGGAGCTGGGGACACCCCCCATGGGGGACGGGAGCCAGGGACACCCCACAGGGGACAGGAGCTGGGGATCCGCCATGGGGACGGGCCCTGGGGACACCGCATGCAGGACAGGAGCCGGGGACACCCCATGGGTGCTCCCACTCTGGGGTCTCCCCCCTGCAGGGTGTCCCTGGCACCCACCGCTGTCCCTGGGGTGGGAGCACCCATCTCTGCGACCCCAGGAGGTGACAGTGGTGTCAGGAGGTGACAGCAGTGGCCATGCACTGCCAGTCCTCTGCTCCCGCTGCTGCTGGGAGCCCCAAGTTCTTTGGAGGACAGTGTTAATTAGCACTAATGAGTCCCGGGCCATGGCCGGGCCCCGGGGGCTGCACCCATTAAACATTCGATGTGCCCATGGGTGGCCCTGTCTGCGAGTGGGGGGCCGGGGTGCGTCCCAGGGGGGTCAGCAGTGACGAGTCCCACCGGGGCCGCTCCCATGCGCACAGGTGTCCCCTGCACCACTGGGGACCCCCCACCCTGTGGTCCTCAACCTCAACAAGGTGCACCTTCATGCCCGTAGGTGCCCCCCATGCCGATGGGTGCCCTTCCTACACCAGGGCCCCCCTCCCATGTCTGTGGGTGTCCCCCAATGCCAATGTGCCCCCCACCCCAAGGAGCCTCCCAGTGGCCATGGATGCCCCCATACATCAAACCCCCCCTATGCCCATGGGTGCCCCCCAAAGCCAATGGGAGTCACCATGCCCAAGGGTGTCCCCCTGCACAAAGGCCCCTCCCATGCACTTGGGTGTCCGTCATTGCTAATGGGCCTCCCCCCACCCCAGGGAGCGCCCTGATGCCCATGGGTGCACCCAATTCACAAGGCCCCCCCATGCCCATTTGTGTCCCCCAGTGCCAAGGGGGACCCTCACTCCAAGGGCCCCCCCATGCCCAAGGGTGCCCTCACCCACCAGTGGACCCCTATACACCAAGGGGTGCCCCCCAATGCCAAGGGGGACCCCCACCCATGCCTGTGGGTGTCCCCCATACATCAGGGCCCCCCTCATGCCCATAGGGACTCCCAAAGCCAATGGGACCCCTACCCCAAGGAGCCCCCATGCCCATGGGTGCCCCCCACACACACCAAGAGGACCCCCATGTCTAAGGGGCTCCCCTGCACCAAGAGGCCCCTAATGAGCCCCCTCAGCTCCCCGCCTCAAATCCGCTGGTGCCTCCAAGGGGCACCGACCTCC